GAGTATTTAAAAAGCCATCACGAAACTCATACTGATGAACGTAACTATGTTTGCCAGGTATGTAACAAAAGTTTTAAACAAAGTTATGTTTTAAAACGGCATATTAATATACACAGCGATGAATACAAATATCCTTGTGACATATGTAACAAATATTTTAAAACAAAAAACAATTTGGCACATCATAAAATAGTTCATAATAATCAATTTAACCACACTTGTCAGGTATGTAATAAAAGCTTTAAACGCAGTTCTGAATTAAAAGTGCATATTCGTACACACACCGATGAATACAAGTATTTTTGTTATATATGTAACAAAAATATTTTAAAACAAAAGTCGCTTTAAGAAAGCACAAAGTAATTCATAGAGATAGAAAAAGGTATGTTTGTGACATATGTAAAAAAGATTACACCGAAAGAACTTCTTTAACCAGACATTGTCTCACTAAACATGAAAATATGTAAGTATGCCATATTTGTGACAAGCCATTTAAGACTAAAAACACATTAAAAAAAACATTCGAAAGTTCACATTTAAAAGTGTAATATTTGTAATAAGGAATTTAAAAGTAAAACCACTTTAATTAATCACCAGAAAATTCATTAAGACGAAAAACCGTTTCGTTTTGAGAAATTCATTAGACGTTTTTCCAAAAAACATATATTAAAATATGTCACGAAGCCACTCACAACGAAGACGATCTTCGTTACGTTTGTGAAGTGTGTAACTAGGGATTTTATTTTAAGTCGTTTATTAAGCCATCAACCCATTCATCAGAATTAAGCGTATTTTTGCAGATTTAAAACAGAAACTCAACTGAAGTTGCATTTAAAATTTTGTTGTATACAAAGACACCCCAAACAATTACTTTATCAATGTAATATATGTGAACAGACTTTTACGTGTGGGGAGGTTTTAGAGTAGTGATTCCTCGAAATAATTTACATATTTTAAAATAATTATTCTATTTTTTTGTATTAGTATAATAAATATAATAGAAGATATGGAACAATACGCACTTCTTATTTTTATTATTAATTTTAAGTATGACGTATATTAATTAATCAAAGATACTTAACATTATGAACACAAAGTCTTTAGAATAAAGGGAAATAAATGTATTGTGAATGTTATCATCTCTGGAGAAAGATATCAAAACTTTAATTAAGCATTTTTGGCAAATAATCAATTACTTGTGGAAATTTTCTCAGGATAAAAGAATTTTGTAATATGATTCTGATGAAACCGTGTTGTAGTTTACTTTGCTTTATACAGACACAATAAAGTGACTTCTTTCAAATAAAAAATCACTTTATTATATATAGTACTAGCTTATCCGTTGCGCATTGCTGCGATCTCAGAAGAAACGAAATTCAAGCAAACTCGTTATGATAAAATTAAATTTACATTTTATCATTTTTATTGAAACTTATTATTATTATTATTATTATTATTAATTTTCATCGGGAAAACATTTCAAAGTGTCGTTTCAATTCTATTTATTTATTGGAGTGNTTTAACTGAAGTAAAACGAGTTTTCCCCTTGCTATGGATCTATGGATGTCTGCCTAGTTCATTTCAGCCACATTCCGCTACAGTTCGCCTTTATTATCAGTTCGAAATGGGGTGGTTCCATAATACCTGCAGTGTTCCATAATACCACCTTCTCCTCTACTTAACATTAAGAACACAAATACTTTAGTATAAAGGAAAATAAATGTATTGTGTATGTAATCTCTAAAGAAAGATGTCAAGACTGTAATTAAGCATTTCTGGCAAATAATCAATTATTTGTGAAAATTTTCTGATGATAAAAGAATTTTGTTAATCTATTGATTACAATCTGACAATGTCAGTATTGTTTAATTTAAATCTTATGTATAATTAAATGCATTAACAACATTAAAATATTTTAATACGTACTCTATACTACGTGTTTATTTTTATCTTTTTGTTTGTTTTTTGATTGTTTTAATACAGTATTAAAATAAATATATTCATATGCACAATCGTTATTTCTTTATTTTTTATATTCTAATTACAAATAGCTGCAATTAAGAATAATATAAATATACAAGAATACATTCAACCCAAACATTCGTGACGTCAGGAAGACAGCACGCTATAACAATTCGATGACTGTGCTCTGTAACCGTGTTTGGCACAGTTGTGCATTGTGATTAGCATAAATTGACCACGTGACTTTAAAATCGATAACCTAAATGGCGTAGGGAATTTTCAGTTACTGTGTATTAGTCTGTGCCTTAATTTATATATTTATTATACTGAAAATTCTCCGCCAAGCTCGACGGAAGATCATTTATGAGAAAATAAAGATTGAAAAATTGAGAGGAGCTTAAAGTCGAGCTTGACGTTGTTATGCTCTTCCTCAGCCCTTGACAAAGCCACTCTTACTCTAAGTTGCTTAAGTCGGAGTTCACAGGTCTTGGGGTCTCAGTTGTTCTTACTCTTCTAGATCTAAAATTTACCTGATCAATTTTACTGTTACGCTTTTCCCATGCAAAATAGCGAGTCTTTTTAATTCCACTTTGATAAAACAAAGATGAATTTTATGTAGGGTGGCCATCACCCAATGCCTAAAAGACAAGGACACTGTTCGGGGTAACCTCCGCGAATCCTGTTGACTCCCCGCGCTTTCTACTTTTTATACGTAAGTACCTTTTATACGTAAGTCACCAAGTTCTTTAATTTTATTTCTTTTCCATCTTGTTTGTCTCTTTCAGGCACAAACGGTTCAGTCCTCATCTTTGCATAAGATCAATTAACTTTTTACTCTTCCCATTGAATGTTCCGATATTTATAGTATACAGTTAGGGTACGTCATAAAAATGCACACTAAGAAGGAATTTTTCAAAATTCCTTCTTAGTGTGCATTTTTGTGACATACCCGTAATTCCCTCCACGGGAGAGAGGTTTAAGGCTAAACCTAAAGAACGGCTTTTACTGTACTATTTTAAATGCGATTTTTAGATTTTGATACTAATAACCTAATTTCCAAACGTACAATATTTTTGTATCCTGGCACAATGAAGTCACCTTCTTTATCAACACTTGGCAAGTTTTCAATCTTTATTCAGTTAGAACGTCGTGTTACACATTTGCGTTTCGAATATTCTCCCCTCTTTAGCTAACTAAACAAGTATAAAATAACATATTCAACAATAACCGAACATAAACTAAAATTATACAATAAAACTGATTTTTAACCAGTGAAACATACCTCACTCCAATACAGACATCCAACTAGTACATAGCAGAACTTTAGACGACTTAAAAGTTTTTCATGACGACTACCATAAATGCCGTTTTTTTACACTTTTTTACAATGACACAATTAGTTTTCTTAATTTTTAACACGCAGACAAAGTAATTGATAAATAGTACTAATTAAAACTGTTACATAAAATCATGCCCTTCGTCTTCGTTCTTCCAAGCATATCCTGTAGGCCATCTTTTCAACGCTATCATCTAGTCGGCCAATTTACATATGTCACTATATACCTTGACTTAATGAACTGACAGGGCAATTGATAGACAACTATTATCTTGAAAAAATATATATATAACATTTTTTTTTTCAAGATAATTGAGCGAATTCTTCAAAAAAAAAAAAAGTTATCAGGAAACGAGTCAGAAATGAGTAGTCACGTAACCGAATAGTACCCACAAATGTCACGAAACCCGCTTCGTGCGCGTCCGTCGTCCGATATGCCGCTCCGCGACGAAAACAAGTTTAAGCAATGGCGTCTTAGGACGGTGCACACTGAGTAAGTATGCCGATAATTTTTTATAACATATTTTATATGGATTATTTTCAAAAATTTATATGTGTTTTGGAAATGTTCGAGTCAAATTAGTCTAAAATCGATTAACCTTATGGAAGAAAATCTTTCAAACAGCCATACCCCGAAACTATAGAAGTGCCCTTTTGAAAACGAACACCGTGGTTACAACGTCAAATATTATTCTAAAAAGCCGAAAAGACTTACTTAAAATCGAAAATAACATAGCTCAGTTTAAAGCTCATTAATTATACAAATATACTGTTTAAAAATGTATGTTTCTCTATTTTCCACTTCTAGTGTTGCCACCCGTCCCGTTTTTATTCATTGTCCGAATTAACTATTAATTTTGCCCAGGATTTCGTAGAAAGTGTGATATTATAATGAAACAAATTACTGTACTAGCAAATATTTTTATAAATTTACCTTATTTTAATAGTGAAAAACTTCACATTCTCACCAAAACTTAATTCTCCATCTTACGTTCTTAAATCAATAAACAAATGAAAGTTTACGTAATAATTTTAATTAAGTTGTATTGTAGAACAACGGTGGGCAACCCCCAGCCCGCGGACCAGCTACGGCCCTCGAAGAGTTTCTATGCGGCCCGCGAGATGTTTAGAAGAAATTATAAATAAATATTTTTCGATGTAATTCGTCTAGTTTAAATTGAATATTATTTTCTGAAGTGTTGCGGCAGCAATGACAGGAAAAAATAAGGGAGTCATTTCCTTATTNACAAAATTCTGATCCACTTCCACTTGGAGGAATAATGATACGGTTTCCATCCATTGCTCCAAGGCAATGTGGAAAATTCCATTTTTCTTCAAAAAGTTTCGCTATATTCATCCATTCTCTTTCTGTTCGTGGAAACTAAAAAAGAAAAAAGAAAAAAGAATAAATAACTTAATTTTTTAAATTAATAAAATTAACATAAAATAATATGGTAAAAGACAATCAATTTCCTTTACTACATTAATAAAATTGTTATTTTAGGAATACGCTACGCATAATACAACGCAGGAAAATCATAACAGTGAAGATATTATTATTACTCCATCAATAATCGCAACACAGAATGATGATAATACAACGCAGGAGAATCATAACAGCGAAGAAATTATTATTACTCCATCAATAATCGCAACACAGAATGATAATTTAACAGAACTTTCGGATACTCCAGTACAGACNTAATCGCAACACAGAATGATGATAATACAACGCAGGAGAATCATAACAGCGAAGATATTATTATTACTCCATCAATAATCGCAACACAGAATGATAATTTAACAGAACTTTCGGATACTCCAGTACAGACGCGACGCAGCCTTCACCCTAAACGAAGTCGAGTGGATCAAAAATCGTTGACTAACGAAATTTTATTAACTGTGAATGATCACTTTAAGAAACCACACGTTCGAGATGATCGTTTCGATATTTTTGGAAAAAATGTTGCAATGAAATTGCGTGGACTCCCAAAGCAACAAATGCTGATTGCCGAAAAGCTAATAAACGAAACTTTGTTTCAAGCGGAAATGGGAAATTTAAATTGTTCGCATAAATTGATGTATGAACAGCCACACTTGCCACATCAATTTATTCGCTATCAACCACCAATTTCTACCGGTTTCGGTATTATTAATCCCTCTTCCAGCACTTTCGTTGAACATTATCAGGAGTAAAAATAATATCAGAAAAGATAATCTTAATTAATGATCACCATGTTAAAATGACATAGTTTCATTTGTTTTAAATTTTAATTATGTCATTCTACTTTCTGATATTGTAATTTGTATATGTTTATATGTAATATGACATTTTTGTACCTTATGACAATAAAAATCTATTAAAAAGAAGTGTTTGTTCTTACCTTTAAATAATCTTTTTGAAGGACTTCGTAAATAGCATCACATGTTTCAGGTATGATATAGCCAAGGGCTTGAGGTGATATTAATGTTGAAAATTTGAGATCTTCAAAACTTTTGCCAGTTGCCAAATATCTTAAGGTCGCCGCGAGCCTCTCGTGTGGTGAAATTGCTGCTCGCATTACGGAATCTTGTTTTTTTATAATTGGTGTAACCAATGATAATAGATTTTAAATACGTTTCTTCGTTCATTCTTAAATAGTTGTGCCAATCTTCAGGTACTAACTCCAATTCTGAGATCAGATTCACAGGAGAATACGATCCTCTTAAACCACTCTTTACACCATAGACGTCTACGCATATGTTTTTTCTCGCCAGTTTTAATAGAATTATTTGTTGCCAATAGATATCCAAGAACAGCCAGTATGTTGTCATCAGATGCCATGGCCGATTGACTGAGAGACAACGGCGTAGCGAACATAACTGGTGCCCGAGGTACGACACTATATTAGACTGGCGTCTAATTACAGAACGATTCCGAGCCGTAGTTCTGTTTTTTACCACGAGATGTCGCTAATTCGTGACGTCAAGAAGCTGGACAAGCATAATTCTAGGTATAAATACACCACAGTCAGAATTAATTTATTACGAACAAAATTTGCTACTGTTCGTTTGTTGAACGTCAAATTTGTCTTTTGTCTAATGTTCAATGTTTATATTATAAGATGATTATTGTTCATTATTTTTATCAAAACATTTAAAATTATACGGTATATTATAAAAGTTATTCTACAGAATATGTAGACTTTCGTTCTTAAATTCTTTTAATCTCGAGATTTTCCTGCTGAATTTTCAATCTCTTACTCGAATTTTTTTTTTTGTATTATTTAATAAAATTATTCATTGCTTTTTAGAAATAATTTAAACGTTTTATATTAGAAAATTTGCAATATTTTATTTTACAATGAACGTTTAACTTCGAAATATTCCACAAAACCAAACTCAATTTTCTCCATAGGCATCCTTATTTAGTTTTCACGAGATTTTAAAAAAAACCTAACCCTAGCAAATACCAAGAGTTAAGTGTATCTTGTATAATTTCAGTAAAGTCTTTTGAATTGGTAGTTTAAATCCATCAACAAATTATCATAATCAGTAAAATATTAATGAACTTTCTGTAGCCTGATTTAACAGATCCGCCAAGATTTATTTGAAAATTAGCTAAAAAAAAAATGCTATTCGTAAGAAAGATGTTTTCTATATAAAAAGGATTTATTGAAAATTATACATTTGCAGCATTTTTATATACACAATCTGCTATTGAATGTCTTCTTTTTGTAGGTACATTTCTGAATCGAACGTAGTCACGATCCCATGTGCCAGAACCGCACGAGTAAAATTTATAAATTCCATTAATTTTTAGACAGTACGACACTGTTAACTTTAGTTGGCTCTCGATTCCTCTGTGGCTTTCCATTCGTAGAAATCTGTCAAATACAGTACATAATATTTTTATTTACAACTGAATGAGCTGTTAATATTCACGAAAACAATTATTTTAAGATATAATAATTAAATACAGCATTTTTAAAATTTCAGAAGAGAATTTACTTACCCTTCATAGTGTTGAATTCCAGTTTCTCAATTTCACAGGCAAATCCGTATACAGGTACAGTACTTTCTCCAAATGCTCACGTAATCGAAGGAAAGTAGAAAATCCTTCAGAACATGAAGTTTCACGACAGAATATAGATTTTTCCTCCACCAGCATTTACTTAGGTTCTAAACCTACATGCTTGTTAGTAAGATTTTCCTTTGAGGAGAAGCGCTTAACGCGATAACAACGAGTATTTTCTAATATAGCCAACGCAATATTTTCCATAACGATTTCTTAGAAACGTAGCGGGAATACTTCGCAACCAATTATCGATGATAAAGTGTGGTTTTAAAGCTAAAATATCGACAAAAAATTCCAAGTACACCGTACAGTACGACATATACGCTATATGAACCTCGTGACACTAGCGGCATCTCGTGGTAAAAACCAGAACTACGGCTACGGAATCGTTCTGTAATTAGACGCCAGTTATATTAGCGACCCCCTCCCTCGCCCCTCCCCTCCAGAAACAAAACTTGTTTGTCTTGGAGACCATTTGGCACCCCTCTGCGAGTGGCGACCGGGTGACGTGCCCTTCTTCCCCACTCTAGCTACACCTCTGTTGAGAGCTTTTCTTCTTCGTTTGTGGGCGATAGGAAATTCTGGACCCCCGGTGTAAGGCTTCGCTACCCCCCTGGGGGTCGCGACCCACAGGTTGAAAAACACTGCACTAAGGTAACAGAACTTATATCGCAATAGGGCGAGTAATCCATAGACACACTTGAAAGAAGGGATTTGGCCTGTATCTTTGGCTGGCCGCGTAAACACTGAAAAGGGGGCCGTATGTATTTCCGGGCCGCAGGTTGTGCATCGCTGGATAAAGTATATTGTGTATTTAATAATGCACAAGTTTTGTTACCTATTTATATTTTAACATTACTTAAATTTAAATATTAAAATTGTTTATTATATTTCAAATTATCTAAACACAATAAGAACATAATTTAAAGCAAATCAAGCAATTGTTGTATTTGAGTTAAATTTGATTTAAAGAAAAAGAACAGAGTGAAGAATACAATATTCAGCACAATTCAAAAAGACTAAAGTATAAAAAGTGTAATGCAAACAAGACTAAATTTGTCTCTTAAATTGAAAAATACAACAACATTTAAAGAAAGATTAAAAAGAAATAGTGCAGAGTAACGCGGTCATCCCACTCTAAACAAAATCTCACATGTGATTTATGTAAACAGACTTTTGTAAACAAGAAAATACTACAAGCGCATTTGTTCCTTCATATTGGAAAAAAAAAAACATTTTGCTACACAATCTGCAATCAGAAATTTTCCTTCCAATTTCTATTAAAAAGACACATGAAAGAACACAACACCGACAACAGCGAAATTAATCACACAAAACTTAGTTCGCTATCATTATCAAAAAACATACTTACAGTGTGTACATCGTTCATAACGCCATTGCTTAAGCTCGTTTTCGTCGCGGAGCGACACATCAAACGGCGGACGCGTATGAAGCGTGTTACGTGACTACTCATCTTTGACGTGTTTCCTGATAACTTATTCTTTTTGAGAAAAATTCGCTGAACTTTGGAGACTTTAATAAAAGTATTAAGACATGATTCCATTTCAAATATGGATTAAAATCACGATAAATAACTAATAATTCTGCTCTGCTTTTAAATGGCCTAATCTCTTTCATATCGTAAACAAAACTGTATAATATTTATTTACATCAAGACATTAGACATCTTGTATTGCATATGATTAATATTTACTGTATCATCATAATATATATTATGATAGAATCAATGTCATTAACGAGTGGTTTTACCTTTGTTGTTTCAAAACAGTCAATAATAATAATAAATCGTTTCTAATTACAATAAAAATAGTATAGTATATTATGATCTATCACAAGTGGCGTACCGTGGGTGTCAGCCGCTCGGGGCGGAGGGAAATTTCGCCCCCCTTATTTAGGTATTTCAATTTAAAAGACAAAAATTAAGTTTTGTCACAGAACAAGCAACGAAAAATTCGGTGGTAGTGCAGCGACCTGTTCAAAATAGTTCTATTGGATATTAGTGGTGTATATGAACGCGAATGAATCAAAAGGTCAACAGGTTTGACAGGAATTCCTCGGATGAAAAAGTTACTAGTTCACCCGGCGAGCCGATTAACTAGACGATACTATCAATACTTCGCCGGACGATAGCACTATCGTAGGCGCGATGCAAGTACAGATTAGGATGTTTCAAATGTTTTGAAAATATTATTATCATATATTGTGAAATTTTGCCGCACCCTAAAAAGTGCCGCCCCCACTACGGTACGCCACTGTCTCTCACGTGATGTTTCCAAAGTTCAGCGAATTCTTCGCAACAAGAATAATTTATGAGTAGTCACGTGACCGAACAGTACCCATAAATGTCACGTGACACGCTTCCGTCGTCCGATGTGCCGCTCCGCGACGAAAACAAGCTTAAGCAATGGCGTCTGCAACGGTGCACACTCAGTAAGTATACCTACAATAGTTTGTTTATAGCATATTTTATATGGATTATACCCAAAATTTATACGTGTTTTGGAAATGTTCGAGTCAAATTATTCTACAATCGATTAACCTTATGGAAGAAAATCTTTCAAACAGCCGTACCCCGAAACTATAAAAGTGCTATTTTGAAAACGAACACCGTGGTTAAAACGTCAAATATCATTCTAAAGAGCCGAAAAGACTTTTACTTAAAATCGAAAATAACGTAGCTCAGTTTAAAGCTCGTGGGGCCATTATTTATACAAATATACTGTTTAAAAATATGTTTCTCTATTTCTCACTTCTAGTGTTGCCACCCGTCCCGTTTTTATTCATTGTCCGGATTAACTATTAATTTTGCCTAGGATTTAGTAGAAAGTGTGATATTATAATGAAAAAAAGCACTAGCAAATATTTTTTATAAATTTACCTTATTTTAATAGTGAAAAACTTCACATTTTCATCAAAACTAAATTCCCCATCTTACGTTCTTAAATCAATAAACAAATTAAATTTTACGTAATAATTTTAAGTAAGTTGTATTGTAGAACATAAATATTTATAACATAATTTCCATAAGTTTGTGTGATAATTCTCGCCGACAAATAACAAATACAAAAAGTAGAAACAAAACGCGAAATTTTGAAATAAATAAAATAAAATGCATAAACTGTAGAAACTTCAATGAAATAAACGGACGTCCACTGAAGGTCAACTCCTCCCTTCCCCACAGTTCCCGAAGGAAAATGTCTGCAGTCAACACTTTACGTGGGACCCCTAAATCAAGTTTGCCCTGTTTATTTGTCTGTTTCATTGATTCCATTAAGGTAAAAGACTCAATTGTATTATTTTTAATTATTTATAGTAATTCAGGTTTGAAAATCCTTTATATTGACTGCATTTTTAATCATACTGTAATTTAATTTAAAAAATTTCGTGACTACGGTTCCTTTGAT